TTGCACTCACATTTACACCCACCGACACTATGACCACTCATTGCTCCACAATATACTGAAATATCACTTGAGCACATTGTTGATGGTATCTTGAAAGTGTCTGGTTGGTATACCCATTTTTCATGTGTGTAATTTATGTCACGGCGTTCAATTTCAATCGTTCCATTCAATGCAAAGAGCAGTTTCCACAACGATGTAAAGAATAATATTCGTTTGAATACTGAACACATCATCACCAACTAATCAATAAATTTCGCTGTTGTAGATCTTATCCTCTTATTCGATTATCTCTGTCATACCTTCAGAGGCTGCTTCACAGTTATTAATCTTTAAAACGTATGGCTCCTCTCTATGTACAACGATACAATGTTCAAAAAAGTGAACAATTTACTGACATTTACCAATATACTTCCATCACTGGTACATTTTAGGGAAGCAACGGCACTCTAGCTAGTTCATCCTGTCTTCTTTGATTCGCTGATTTTCCGCTTTGGGTTTTACAATATTTGAATAAAAATAATTACTTATGCGATTCAAAACACCGAAAGTACTTGAAGCGCAACTCCTTTACCAATATTTTCTCTTTTTTTTGAAACTGATAATCAGCAGATTTATATCGCATGTTAATCCACGGTTGCTTCAGCTGTTTATGTTTCCTTTTTAGTTTCCTTTTTTCCATCTTACCATCCCTCAAAAAAAGAGACTCCTCTTTATGTCTTGAATATTGCTATAGTGTAAAGATGAATACAAGCATACGTACCATACGTATAAGTATGAACACGTATTCAATGGGAATAAGTGTGACGTTAAGCTAAATATTAGAAACCTGATCTAGCAACAGGAAATCCAAACAACGTGCGCATAGCAAGTTTCATGCCGATGCGGAAATTACAGAATTGCATTCAAATATGATTTGGACTTACGAAAACAGGTATTACTTGTCGTCCATTGAAGGTGGACGATTTGAATCGCTGAAAGTTCCGTCTTAACAAGCAAAATCGTTAGTGACAGATTTTTATTAATTCTTAATGATTTATGATGCAAGATAAATTGTCATTACTCATTATCATCCAAATAGAGAGCTAATACATTAAACTCGTCTAATGGTATGTTAGGATTCATTCTACTTGTAATGTGTTCGTAATATAAACGTTTTTTTGTTTACACCTAATTCGAAAAACGTTGTCATCGCCAAAGGCGATAGGCGATAGGTCATTCCGTCATGGAAATGGTTTCGTTGAATACAAAGAAGACCGAATCAGTCTCAACACTAAGGTCCATGTTCTTGACGAGAATAAGAAGAAGAAACACAAGTCATTCCAGCTATTCTAGGATCTTGGAATGACATATATCCTACCGCTTTTCACCTATCTGCTATTGCCTATCGCCTTTGGCGATGACAACGTTTTTGAATTAGGTGTATAAGCAATATATTTGCGCACGTCAGTGTGTTTCAGTACAAAGGCTGTCGCCCATCACAGCTTAGGAACACGATAAGTAGCTCTAGCTGAGTTGTGCTTGTTGCTTGAGTACCTTACAGCTCTACTGAGACCGTTTGTCACGTGAACGTGGCTCTATACTCAGTTCCGTTATATTATACTGAAATAACATACTTTAAAGCTTTTAGTAGAATTACACACGTTATTATTAATTCGCCAGATATTGTCTAGAGATGAAGTATGCGAGCGTGTAGTACTTTTCGTGGAATTGCATGAAATTGATTGATTTTCCCCCCTCTCTTTCACATCAAAACAAGCAAACGAAGGGGGAAAAATCTTTCAAAAATATAGGGTATGATCCGAAAAACTGAAATTACAATTGTTTTTTTTTTGTTGCAATGGTTGTTAGTCGTGTTTTTGTCTGCAAATAAATCAGAAACCTCATGTATATAAGTGTATTTTCAATCTTTCCGCAATGCGATTCAAGGAAAATTTATTGTCATACTGGGAATTCTAAAGAATTTCACTGGAAATCCGATATCGTACTTCAACATAGAATTCCCTCGTCAGCCAATAAATTTTCCTATAAAATTTACTGA